CAATTCCCCAGCACTGTTCCCATCCCCCCATTTCCCCAATAAAAAAAAAAAGAAATCTGTCCTCGGCAAGAGGTATGTTTATCTAGGTATGCGAACTCTTAACTTGACTACCTTACTGAAAACTTCCACTCAGACCTCCATTTTATCCTCTTCATTTCAAAGCTGGATGTGGCTCTCAGCACACTTGTTGACCACAAAAATGGAGCAGATGCAATTAAGACAAAGCTTGCAGGGAACAAATGTTTATGGAGATACATGTGTATAATTTCAGATTCCGTGATGAAATTACAGAGACCTACTATTTGCTAAAAAGTCAAATTCATGATCCAATTTCAAAATTCCTAACTCCTTTGTAAGTTAGAAAGAATTACAAAAATCTTTTAATTTGCTGCTTCTTATTTTAAAGAGAGAAAATTTGTTTTTAGCCCTTTTTCTTATAGTTTGGAATATGAGATTTCCAAAGGAATCTACTGGAACTTACAGGGTTAACAACAGTTAAAACTGGGCAATAATGTAAAAAACATCTTTCTTCTAAAAGCAGTTTTCCTTTTCCGTATAAAGGTAGCTAACACATTTTATTAAATAATTTCAGATTAATAAGGGAAATCAGCTAGTCAACAATTAGAAATAACCAATAATAAGCAAGTTAATATATACCTGTAAAATCTAAATATTAGGGTGATACATGCCTACACAACACTTCTACCATAAAGTTCATTATTTCTTATTCCACTCCAAAAAATTAATCCCCTTGTATGCATGTATATAACTTTACATAATGAAATTTCTATAAAGAGTAAAATAATGTTCAAATGGTAAACACATCACACCAACAAACAAGAAAACTTTCAAGTGGTAATTTTTCAAATACCAATTTTCAAATGGTAAATACTCTGACCACACCAACAAACAAGGAAAAACTGAGAGACAAGATCGACCCTAAGGGTTCAGTTGGGGTAAGAGAACACACAAACTATGAATTGAGTGCCTGGTCAAAGTCTCTCTGCCAGATATTACAACCTCAAGTTAGGATCTTTTGAGAAATGTAATAACTTGCTACTGTATACATAAGAAATGTATAAATATTCATCTTCTACACAGTTTTCTGTATTGTAAAGAGTTTCCCTTTGTATAAGGGTGATAAATATTTACTTGACAAGCAATCTGATATTTTCTTTACTGAGCTGATTCACTTTACTAAAATTAGTATTTGTTGCAATAATCACAGGCAGTCCAAAGAATAATCCAAAAACAAAATTCACCTTTGTTACAGTTTTTGCTTTCAAACCTCCATTCTCCACAACGCCGAGTTCCAGTTTGCCGTCATCCTTACTTCCTATAGATTTTAATCCTTGCAAAAGAATATCTCGTAAATTTTGATAACGAGGTTTTTCAACATAGTCCAATAATTTCACTATTTCCATGTATTTAGCAATTTCATCTAAAAGAATAAGACAATTATTTTATAATTTTTTAATCATAAACACAACATATATCTCTTCTAAGAAAGTAATTTGTAGTAAGAGTAAAATTAGAATGCAAATGTATATCTTGTTAAAAGATGATTTTTTTCAATTACTTTTTCAATGAAAAGTATGCTTTTGAACTCAGGAATTGTCAGATTAAGTCAAACAAAAATATATTTTGAGATACAATGTAAAAAGCATTTTTGTAATAGTGACACAATAAGATAGAAGACAACTTAAAATTTAAACATGCACAAAAATAACTGCCATAATTTTAAAGCTATCAAAAAATACAAAAGGACCTAGAATAAAGATTATAAAGTAAAATGTGCTTAAATACAATGACTATTACAGCCATTTTTTTTCTTGCTTTATATAAATGAGAAATAAAACATAACAAAAACAGGTTGAAAAAGAAGCCAGGCCTGGTTTTCCCATAAAAGAAAAAAAATCAGCTTCTGAATGATAAAAGGTTTACTGTGCACTGAGGCAGAACCGTATCCATAAAAAGAAACCTTACTAGTGAAGATCAATACTTCTCAACATTTAAAAACTCATCTTTAGGCTCCCGACTCACACATGTGTAGCCCCAGACTAGCCCTTCCCAACCTCCAGATTTGTCCATACACTGTACACACAGTGGCTCTTGGATGTGTAACTGTCAGTTCAAACCCCAACAAATCTAAATGGAAACCGCTAGCCTGCCCTAAAACCTGCTCTCCGCATGGTTTTCCCTGTCTTGGTTACTGATAATTCCATCCTTCCAGCTCCTCAAGCCAAGCATCTTCTCTTCCCACACCCCACATCCTGTCAGTCAAGGCATCTTGTCATTCATACACACACACACACAACTCAAGTGTTTATTAAGCACCCACTATGTGTCACGCAGGATTCTGTATACTTGGGATACACGGGAAAAAAGAGACAACCCCCGCCCCCGATCGTCAACTTTCTCAGTCTGATAAAAGGGATCTGCAGAAAACCTAAAACAAACACCACCAAGCATGGGAACACATGGAAAGCTCTCCTCCTGAGACAGGAAAATGGCAAGGATGCGCACCTCCACTGCTCCCATTCAGTACGGCGTTCATGAGTGCTTTCACCAGGACAGGAGAGCAAGCGAGGCAACAGGAGGCACGGAGCGGAATGGGAGAGGAAACAGTTCATTCACAAACATCACAGAGGATGTAGGAAAGCCTAAGGCGTCTACAAAAACTACTAGGATAGGTAAACTTAAGGTCACAGGATGCAAGGGATGTACATAAAAATCTACTCTATTTCTATATGCTAACAACAAGCAATTAGGAAATGAAATTTTAAAAACATATCATATATATATATATACATATATATATATAGTCATGGGACGTGGAGTATAGTGTGGGAGTGGAATCAAGAGAATTGTAATAGATATGTATGATATTGGGGGGAAGTGGGGCGACGGATTGTGGGAAGGGGGTTGTCACTTCGAGGGGTAAAAAGTATAACTATTGCACTGTGTTGTACAGCTGAAACTAATTCTAAAAAATGTGTATTTCACAATAAAAAATAATTAAAAAGAAAAACATATCCCTTACAATAGCATCAAAAACAATGAAAGCTGGGCAAGATTTTTTGCAGAGAAAACTATAAAACACAGTTGAGAGCAATTAAGGGACACAAAATTGAACAGAAGATACCCCATGTTAGTCGACTGGGAGCCTCAATGGTAGGGAGATGTCCACACTCCCCAATTTGTCTACAGTCAATGTAATCGCACTCAAAGTTCCAGCCAACTGGGGATGGACAGGATGTGTGCGGAAATGACAAGGTGACGCTTAAATTTACATAGATGTGCAAAAGGCCCAAAATAGCAAGATACAGAAGTTTAAAGAACAATGCTGGAGGACTTAAACTACCAGATACCAAGACTTGAGACAAAGCTACAGTAATTAGGAACAGACAAAAAGGACAACGAAGAAGAGTCTGGAAACAGACCCACAGATCCACACGTGGAGAATCAAGACAAAGGTGGCCCCACAGGGGAAGAGCGGTCTTTTCAAGAAAGGCTGCTGGGTCACTGGATATAAATATGGAGACGGGGAAGAATTATGACTCTTCCTCATGTAATACACAATAATTAATTGCAGGTAGACTATACATCTACGTGTATAATTGGCAATCTGTAATTGTCAAAAATTGGTAATAATCCAACAGTAAAATAGATAAATAGTATATAAATACAGTGGAATACTATACAGAAATGAGAATGAACAAACTACTGCTAAATATGCAACCATGGGGTTCTGAGGACCTACTGTAATGGTGACTATGCTAATAACACAGTGCTGTATGCATTCACGTTCCTAGGAGTAGATCTTAAGCATTCTCACCATAACAATAAAGTTAACTATGTGAGGTGATGGGTGTGTTCATTATCTTGATCTTAGTAATCATTCTACAATGTACATCATCATGCTGTACACTTTAAAATACAATTATATTGTCAATTATTTCTTAATAATGTGAAAAATAAATTAAAACATCCAAAAAAGCCACACAACAATGGGAACGAATTTCACAAACACAATACTGAGAGAAAGCACAGGACTCTAACCGAACTATGACACTAATTCATTAGGGCGGGGATGTTTTTATCTGTTTTGTTCACTCTGATTCCATTTCCGTATAGCTCGAAAACAAATCTTTGGTGTTGGAAGTTAGGCTAGTGCTTCATTAGGCCAGAGGGACTGGCTCATGACTGGCAGGGATATGGGGGGATTCTGAGAAACCTATAACCTTCGGTTTCTTGATGTGGTTGGTAGGTTGCAACTTTAAATAGCATAAGGTCAGAGTAGACCTCCCTGAAAAAGAGACAATTAAGTGAAGGCTTGAAAAGGCTTCTAAATATATCCAAACCGAGCACTTCTCACGACCTCCACTGCTACCTCCATGGCGTGGACTGGCGCGTGGACTGTCACAGAAGCCTGCTGCCCTGCTCCTGCTGACGCCCTGCCTTGCTCCTTTAGCAGTCTACCCTCAAAACAGAAACTAGGGAGATGTCCCTAAAGATAGCCAGCTCATGTCACTTTTCTACCCAAACCTTACACTCTTGCTCAAAGGAAAAGCCAAAGCCCTTACGATGTTCTAAAACAGCGGTTCTCAACCTTCCTAATGCCGCGTCCCCTTAATACGGTTCCTCATGTTGTGGTGATCCCCAACCATACAATTATTTTCGTTGCTACTCTATAACTGTAATTTTGCTACTGTTATGAATCGTCATGTAAATATCTTTTTGTTTTCCGATGGTCTTAGGCGACCCCTGTGAAAGAGTCGTTCGACCCCCAAAGGGGTCGCGACCCACAGGTTGAGAACCATTGGTCTAAAAGGAGGCATTCCTCAAATACACCAGGCACTTCTGTTCCTTCAGCCTTGAACTCTCTTCCCCAGATTTCCACAGAGTTCACTCCCTGTCTCCTTCCTACAACTGTTCAAATGTCACCTCCTCAGTATGGCCATCACTGCTCAGGATATTTAAAATTCCAATCCCCTTCCCCACTTCACTCCAGAATTCTATTCCCTGCTGCCTTCTTTTTTCCACAGTACTAACCACATGATATACCATAACATTCACTCATTTGTTTACTGTCTGTCTCTCCCAACTAGAGTGTTAGATTCATGAGGACAGGAGTTTGGGTTTTGTTCACTGGTGTATCCCTAGTACCTAGGAGGGTCCCTGGCACACAATAAAACTTCGATAAAAGCAATGAATAACTGAATGAAGCTCAGGTATCCATGTAGCCTACTTCTGAAAGGGAGGTGTTTTGTGATGAGCAGGCCCCATACAATGATTACACCTAGACTCTTACATTAAGGGATATTCCTTGGACATCATGAATTTTTTTTTCTCCCAGAAAACAAAATCCCTGTGAATATATAAGAAGTCTTTTCCTACCTGGCTTGTTTTTCTCAGGAAAACACTTGTCCATCAAGCCTGCAATATTTTCTCTGTATCTGTTAAAAATTAAAGAATGAGTCACTGTTTGAAGCTTGATGCCATAGAAAATTAATATTTAATACCAGTAAACAGCACATGTAGCAGCACTGTGCTACATCCTAAACGTGCTTACAGTCTTCTAAAATAAACTGAACAAGGGATTAAGGAATCTTACTGCTTAACACACATTTTCTGGTGTCTACATTAGTATCCGTGAAAACTACAGCTCCAGTACAGAAATTCTGACTGAAAAACATTTGCCTTATCATGAGTTGGCCCAAAATAATTTATTGTTAAGTCTCCTTTACCTCATTTTGGAATCTCTAACATATTTGGGATCTTTCAAATTGTCCTCCCACGGAAGATGGCCACTAAGCCACTGGATCATACAATATCCAAGTATTTCCAAGTCACCACGCCTCGATGGGGCTATGAACACAAAAGCAGCAGGTTATGCACACTGAAAGAACTGTTAAGGTATAAGTTCAAGTATATGTAAAGCAATGAGGTACCACAGCCAACTCTATAGTCTGACTTATCTTCATAAAATTTTGGCTACATTTCATAAAAGTATGAAATATTGGGCAGTATAAAGGAAATAATCTATCTCCAACAATAACTTACTTTAAAACCAAAATCGTCAAACTCTAGAGTTTCAAACTGAGACTACTCATCTAGGAAATTATATTATAAAACAATGCCACATTTCGTATTGCCCTTAAGATATTAAAAATGCCATGAGCTATTGTGAGGGCCAGAGAGTTGGGGGTTTTAGCCCCACACCCCTACCCCAGTGTTGGGCACAGAAAAAAGAAATGACTGCTGAAGCAACAGGCTGACCTAACAGGTGACAAAATAGAAGTTGACCTGTTACAAAGCTGTAACTGCATAAGAAATTTACAGACTTTTAGGCGGACAGAAAAACCCACATTCCGATTAAGCTAAATGTGACCAAAAAAGGAATCCTCACTGCAGCTGACTGACCCATCTTCACTGCTAAAACCGCAGTATCTCTGAAGCTGGGCTGGAAGACGGGGACAGGGACACAGACGGCCTGGCTGCATAACTGTGCGGCTCCGGCCTCCCGCTCCGTTCCCACCCCACCTCGCCTCTTCGATCTTAATCTACTCATTTTTCAAGCAATTGAGAACCGTGTGAGAATTAGGTTGAAAACATTAGCTATGGACATCTTGTTCATCTTGTGCAGCTGACGTACCCACACCATTGTGTGCGTCGATGCTGGTGAATTCAAGAGTGCCATCGTGACATCTTCTGGGGTCTTCTTTGTACTCTTTATGGACTCCCTCTGGGCAGTATCGATAAGCAAGGCCATAATCTACCAAGTACACCTAGAAATTTCCAAGCACCAAGACAAATTGAAGCCAGAATGACTGCACATACTCCTTGAAAGGCCAGAAACAAAACGCTGTCATTTGCGGGTGAATTCACTATAAGACCATAATACCATAGCACCCCAAACGCGTTAGGTCCTACGTGCAAACAACAGCAAAGACTTAATTCTGAAAGACTTTTTATTCAAAGGAAGACTTTAGATGACTATGCGGCTATAGTCCAGGCAGTATCACCTGATGCTGTGGATTTTATTTAAATAAATTGGGTTAACACCCGTAATTAACCTTGTCTCCTCAACCTAAGCAAGGATTATAAACCTCACGTTTTTTCTTAGTCTAAAACACAACTGAACATGGAGCAGGCCGTCAATACTTGTTGTGACACCGCTGCCACACTTGAGTATAAGACTGCTGGCTTAGTTGACACGTGATGTATTAGCTGTCTTCTAGTCCTATGCTTTTTCACTTGTAAAATTATCAAATATCAATTCATTTCATAAAAATATTTCACAGGTTATAAAAATGATCTTAAGAACTTTTAGATGAGGCTTTTACCTACATTTAAATGTTATTTTTAAAATTCGCCTTCATAATTAAAACTACATTTTAATATGATACACACATCTGCGGGCATGTACACGCCCACATCTGATTAGCACGCAAAGCTAATAAAGTCGGCTTTCCCCTATTCCATGGCCTCATACTGCATTTCCAGCTCTGGGTCATGTCTCACAAATACATGCAGTTAGTCACAAGTGGGAACCGAAGTAAAAATATGGGCATGATCCACACATACATCTAATATTAGAAAAATAATTCCATTCAAAGGATATGCCCAAAGAAAAAGACCTGTAAAAATATTTCCACATAAACGAAAGGCAGCCTGTTTTATAGGTTGTATTTTTAGTTATAAGTCCAGTCTATTCCAATTAATGGAAACCTTATCATTTAAGCTCTTGGCTATGTTTTGTTTGTTTTTAACCTGAAAACATCTAAAGCAAGATGGCTGGAAATCCTGTGATTGCCTTTAAGATTTCTCCATTAGCATGCTTTAGTGAACCTTTTTCTGTCACGTGTATACAGATCCCTTAGGGCCACCATAACGGAGGTGGGGGAGGGGAAGCAAACACATGAGATGACAGAAAAAGAAAGAGACGACAAAAGAAAAAAGGAAAAATGAAGCAAGAGGAAGTTGAAGACAGGTCTGAAGAAAAGAAAAATGAAGCATGGACTATCGACATGAACACATTCACAACGCCTAAATATTCTTGTCTCAGATGAGATCCAGTAAGAACAGGAACACACGTGGAGCAAGGACAGTGGCCCGACAATAAGAGTCAGCCAAACCTTACTTAGGAAAACCACAGAACAAGCTACAAGAAAACTGTATAGATCCCGCTACTCCAACTAAATTAACCCAAATAAAGGTAAAATAACATTAGCTTTTCTCCTTTCCTTAAAAAGTAAAAATTACAAAGTGAATGGAACTAAAAAAAAAAAAAAAAAAGCACATTTAAATTCCAAACACTAAGGGTATACAAATTTAGACAGCTAAGATATTTCCGTAAACCAATTGATTTGAATAATCAACATGTTAAAGACCAAATTTTCCAAGTAACAGAACACTTACACTTGATGGATTTCTTGAACAAAGGAAATAAAAAAAATGACAAAGCAGACAGGCAAACATAATTCACTGGAGCACTATATAATTTTAAGCTTCCACTCCCAAATAGCTATTTGAAATTCATTTTGTATCACAAGCACTTCTGAATATTATTTAGGGCAAAATAGCCAACTTGATAAAGTGCCAAACAAATCACATCAAAAATGCAGAATGTTAACTAGATAAAAATGTCAAGAAGAAATATTATTATTACCATATCTACTTTAAAAAGTAAAACTTCTGCATGGGTTCGAAAGTTCAAAGCAACCATATTTGTTTTCAAACAACAGGTTTTTAAATAGTAGAAATTAAAGTTACAAAACTACCTGGTCAGGATTCTTGCAGCTCAGAAGAAGATTTGAGGCCTTTATATCTCCGTGTACATACTCATGCTCGTGAATATATTCCAGAATATCCAGCTAGGAAAGCATCACACAGAATTAATTAATGCAGTACCACACACCGACCAGCAGAGGGCCGAGATTCAACCCAGTAGCTTTACTGGATTAAAAACAAGAAGCGTGTAGCTCACATACAATTCTTAAGCTTAGCTGCAAGACAGTTTTCCGAGAAAACCTTTTGGCATTTGCTTCATATATTTTCTGAAGGTCACTCCCAAAGCGATCTATTACCATAAACCTGTAACTGAAGACAAACAAGAAAAGTCAATGAACAAAATATAACTGAGGAAAACCTACTTTTCAAGGAGCACTCCCCTTCCAAAGTAGTTTTTCAAGGCAATGTTTAGGAAGAAAGAAAAAGACAAACGTTTAAAACAATTTCTTCTAACTAGAATTCTCAAGAGCTGAGAGGGCTTTCGGAGGGCTTTGCCCTGGTCTCAGATAGTGACATGCGACAATGACAATGTTCAATTTAAAAGAATGCCCACAGACAGAACCCAGCAGAGTCCTTCACAGTAAAGACAAAACAACCTGAGTAACAAAGACACCACTGTTTTTTTCTCATAGTAAATTTAATTTATGTTTCTGGATATTAGTCCCTTCCTGTGGCTAATTTTCTCTATTTTTAAGGCATATTTTAACAGTATTACTACCATTCTATTAAAATCAAATCTGTCAAGAGATGCTCTAACAATAGCTAAATTCAGTCACATCGCTTAAATGGTGTAAAAGGATTGTATATTAAATATTCAATGGACAAGATTTGGGGAAGAAGAAATATTCTGGAAAAATGTGAAGATTTTTGGTTTTACCACAAACCAAATATGTTGCCTTTACTTCTTTGGGACCCAATTTCCACAGGCATCAAATGAAAGAGTGGGCCCACATGCTTTCTAAGGCCTTTCGTAGCACTCATGTTCTAAAATTCAATAACCATGTGCTGTATTGCAGTGCGGACTGAAAAGCATCACCCAGTTGCAGAAACACGGTTCATCTGCTCTGAGGACACCTGTCTCTTTATAACGTTCTCCAGGTTCTGACTTGTCCAGTTAAATCACTCAATAAATCAATAAAAACCAAGACCACACTCAAAATGTATCAAAGTATCTTGTAATGGGGACAAGACTAACAATCATCATAACAGCAGCTGGCATCTTCTGGAGCTTGGTCCTGAGCACGGCACCATTCCAAGCACTTCAGGTGTGCAGTGCACCCCCTCACATCACCCTTACGGGGCAGGTGCTCCTAGGAGCCCCGTTTTACAGCAGAGGAAAACTGATGAAAAGTAATTTGTCCTCTAGTAACTGGTGGAGCTATGCTTTTGACCACTACACTAAACATACGAAAGCAAATGTCCATAGGACACAAAAATCCCACCTGTGTGTTGCAGGCTTCTAAGATACAAATAACAATATGACAAATTCAATAGGGAGCTAACGTTAAAAAACAACATGGCAAATAAAAAATCCAGAATTCTATCCATTTTTTAACTGGAAGAGAATTACAGATCATCTCGTCTGAACATTTTAAAATAAATAATTAATGTCTACGGAGGTAAAATGATTTGTCCAAAGTTATACAGTTAGTGGCAAATTTATTCATTCATGTAAGATTTTCCAGTACCCTGACCTCTCAGATAGTAACGAGGGAACAATAATTTGACTGCCTGATTTCCTTTGTACAACAGGTTTTCAAAGACTGAGGGATGAGACCAAGGAGAGAGACAGACAGAGAGAGAGAGACAGACAGAGAGAGAGACACACACCTTTGGGTTTTATTTACAAATAAGTGTGTAATTATTATAAATATATGGGTAACAAAAATACAACCTCTGCTGACAGTCTGAAAGAGGGCTAAAACACAAGTGCTTAATTCAACATAAGATCTATTAATACATCCCATTCAGTAGTTCTTTGTTTATATTCATAGATCACTCCACACCTCTCTATAAACAATCCCTTCATCACCTCTCTATTTCTAAATTATACACAGCAACTGAAGCATGATTCTGTACATTGCATCGAAATTTTTACCACATTCTTCTGGGGAGACATTTCTACCACTGAATAGTAAAATGAAAGTTATTTCTAAATAACTCCTCTGAAGTAAAACCATAGATGTATACATTCCTGGAAACTCATATAGAACAACGCTAATAATGGGAATGTATAAATCAGTATAAATAATTTAATAATAATAGCACATAACGCTTTTACGATCCTGACACTGTTCTAAGTACTACAGACATATTAATTCAAATGAGTTACAGGGGAAAGTAAGGGTTTCTGGCAGGAGAGCAGGGCTAGAACAATTTTTCTATATCTTTACTTTTGTAAGAACCAAAATGATTATTTGTTAAGAGCTTCAACCTAAACAGCAAATCAATACCTTAGAGGTGATGAATGCCTCCTTTCAGGAGACACTTCCAGCAGCTTCATGTTACAAAAGAAACAGGCTGAGAGGTAAGGTAACCACTAGTAAAGGGTGAGTTACGAAGTAAGCTCCAGTGTGTCTGCCTCCAGAGTCTGACTACAGCATCCTCTAGACCCTGCAGGAGTTTTCTCCTGCAAGGCTCCTGTCAGTTAGCTTCGAGTCACCCTTCGATCGCCACCATCTCTCCAGGACCTGCTCACTTCACAGGAGCCACACACACACAAGCCCTGTTTAACTGGCTCAGTGCCAGTTATCACAAAATAGGTGATAAGACTGGATAAGCTAAAATGTGCTATGGCAATGTTGACATGTTGACAACTTTAAGAAAAGGCACCATTCTGGAAGGAGGGAAGGAGGGGAGGGGAGGGGAGGAAGGGAGGAGAGACTATGATGGGATTGTAGCTAACATCTCCTGAGCACATACCATGTGCCAGAAAACCCCCCTTACGATTTACATGTTTTCATTCCATCTTCACAATAACTCCATAAAGTATTATCCCACCTTACAGGTGAGGAAACATGAGAAACTGAAAGTAACTAACCCAGAACCACACCTGATGCAGTCGAGTGTAACCCAGTCCATGTTTAGGTTTTGTGACGTACTTTTTTGTTGTTTAAAAAAAGTAGTTTATACTACAATTCTGGAAGGGGGAGAAAAACTTTGTTATTCCAACTCCAAAATGCTCCAGCCCCAGCCACACTTCCCTTCCAATTATCTCTACAAAATGTGATTTTTGATAACATGATGTTTCTTAGCCATACAACGGCTGCAGACCCGAGTATAATCAAATGTATCTGCTTTCTAGCAAATCACCTGTAAAGGGTTTCCTGCCCAAGTCCCCTCTTCCTGGGCTCCACATACACCATGTAAACCAATTCTCAAATGCCACTTTCGCCCTCAGCTCACTGTCTCCCGTGCAAGGGCTTCTGGCTGGCTGCTACTCGGAGGTTCCCGACTGCTCTTTCCTCCACAGGTCTCCATCATCTGCCCCAGTCTTTCTCAAGGTGATTTCCTTCTCTCTCATGTGCATGCCCCTTCCTTTGCTACTGAAAGATGGCGGGGAGGCCACACAGCAGGCCAGGAGCCTATCCTGTCCCTGTGCTCACATTACTCTCCCACTTGAGATGCCACCCTCCCCTTCAATAGTTTTCTAAACCAGCAGCTCTTAACAGCTGAGGAATTAAAGACGCCTTTGAGAGTAGAAACCTAACACATGTGTTTAACATGTATTCTAAGAGCTTTACATTTTACCTCCTTATTAAGTGAATAGCTGTTCCTTTATTTCACAGATGAGGAAATTGAGGCAAAAAGGAAGAACTTACCCAGCCACACACATTTTAAGGAGCTAAACAGAGACTTGAAACCAGGCAGTCTGGCTCCGGAATCCTTGCTCTTAAATTACTTAATCAAACCTTGATCTATACTATTTCTCCAGAAAATTTCATAAAAATATAGAACCTTGTTCCAGCAAAACCATATGTAACAAAATGTCATGTATCATTTCAGAGATGCATGGGTTCCAGGAGAAGCATTTCCAAGGGAACAACGCTGGCCACCCACCAGCACGGACCCCCCGCCCACCACCTTCCAGAGCGCCAGTCTGCTCAAGCATTCCACCCTCTTCTGCTCGCTCGGCCACGTGATTCACCACACTGATCAGTATGATCCATCTGGCCAGCGACCAGTTTAAGAATGATCACCCACAAAACTGTCCAAGAAGACACAACAGGAAGTCTGCCAAAGGCCTCCAGGGAACGGTTTCCTCACCGGGAAAGTGGGGCTCACCAGAAGCAATACGGTTTTCTTCTGTGGGGCACAGTCTGCATGTGAAGCCTAGAAACGGGCTCGAGACCACACAGTGGGGAATTAACAGAGAGCAAGGCCAAGGTGAGGAGGGCAGGGGACAAGGTGAAGGAACCTAGGCCTTGCTGACAACTTAGGAGAGCTGAGTCCAAGTGTTCCTTTATGTGCAGGTGAAAGCATTCAATCCCCATTCCAAACAAAGTCTACTCTTCAAATCTCAGCTACCAGCCTTACTCCATGGACTGCCATTCAAATATTTAAAAAGTATCAAGTATGCATCACACTACTGGAGGTTTTCTCCAACTCAACTATGCCAGTAACCTTCTCTCCATTCTCCTAAGACCCAAAAGAGTCAGAATCACACAACTTAGCACTGAACTGTTCTAATCGTTTCATACAAGTTTCATGGTACTTTTTTCTCACCCATAAAGAGCAGGACTCTGACGCGGCTGATTATATACCTAATATGAAAGAGCAAACCGAAGCCTGAAGGGCTTCCTTTTACATAAAGGGCATCGAGTTTTTTGTTTGTTTGCTTGTTATTCTTAAGGACAAAATTGCAGAGCGCACTGGCTCTGTTCCGACTTGTCCACTGGGTGCAGCCGGTAGTCAGCGGTCTGTACAAGTCTCCAGATGAGAGGCGTTGCCATTATAATGGGGCGCTGCAGCCTATGGCCATGGAGAGCAGAGGCAGCCGTAACGCCTGGTTCACCTCCGCTGCACATATTCAGGAAAAGGCCTGGCAGGATGGTAGGTGCTCGGTCAGTAATTCCTGACTAAACCAAAGGCACAGTGAATGCTCAAAAAAGTGAGGAGAAAAACAAAACATGTATATTTTTACCTTTTTCCATTTTTATCATGTAGACCAGACCCCCAATACTTAGGGACACCCAGGTACTTCAGTTTATGGGTGCGAATCCATTTCTGAACTACAAATTAAAACAGATGCTTGTGATTTCAATTCTGTTAGACATAATCTTTTACATCATTAAGAGCAAAATGTGCTTATACATGTAATAAGATTTTACTTTTATTCATTAAAAAGAAAGTAAACAGTACACTATAGTAAATAAGAAGTAATTCAAAGCATGTTTATTCACCCACAGTATTTTGTTACCCTGCCCTAAATATTGTCTTTACAATGAAAAATCTGCAAAAAAACATTCTTTAAAAAAATCAAACCACAGTACTGCGACTGTAATTAATATCCCTAATTCTGTAAATGTGTACTTGCTTCCTCAGACAGACTTTCTACTTACCCAATGTGAAGTTTTTTTTACCTCATTCTGAAAGTCCTCAACCAGGAAATCAAGCTCTAGGAAAAATGGAAGGCTTCCTAGAGAGATGGCTGAGTCTATACCATCCAACCAGGAGAGTCCTTGGACTTGCTGGGGGGCGGGGGNACGACGGGACGACCAGAGTGGCTAGAAGAGGCCTCACTCTCTACCTTGATAGTCTGTTCTATTTCATCAATCACGGCACCCTCACCCTCATCCCAGGTAATGTTCTCCAGAGTTGAGAAAAATACTCAAAGATTTGGAGATCGCTGAGCCACACTCATGGATTAGTGTTCTTAATTTTTAACAACATTTCCTAAATCATATATCATTTAACTTTATTCTTAACTTTATATATCGAAACAGGTGAAATCTTGTAACAAACCCATTAAGAGATAATTCTTTCATACAAATCTCATTTAAATAAAATATATTTATAAAGTAAAAATTCAAGAATAGCAATATAAGATCGAATGCTCCAGTCTTGGCTTAAACAAACAAAACAAAAACGATGGTCATGTTAAAAGAGCAAACATGTTGTATTGCTTACTTTGCTCTGGTTTGGCAGCTCGCTGGTAGAACTTTAATTCAGTAAAGAGAGGTCCATTGTCACTGGGTTCCTTGAAAATAGGAGTCAATTAGTACTAGCAGTAGTTAAAATTACTAAGTTATTTTCAGTGAAACTTCAAAAAAGAAAAACAAATCACTCTTTCTTTCCAAACAATGTAATTCTGATACTTAACTTTATAACTTTAATATTAAGTCAAACTGTTTAGACATGTTTTAGATATTCTCAGAATAGTCTGTCTTATATTTCTCTCCAGTTCCAATTTTGTAAGTGATAAATTATACAAAATTAGATGTACAGCTCAGTCATCACAGAAGTTGAAGAAAAATCTTTAAACTTACTTTTATCTTTATTAAGTTTTCTCTTAAGCAAAGATCAGCAACCATATTAACTATTTCCCCAAGAAGCTACACAACATTCCTGAGATTTCATAAAATTTCAATACCTGATGTAACTAATTAGTGGCACAATCCCATTCCTTTCCTGTTTCTCGTTACAGTTATACACAGTTTATCAGGACGGGCAGACACCGACCTCATCACAAAGAAGAGTATTCTAGAACTCCAGAGTGAGCCAGCAGTCCATTTAACTGTGTCCTTCCCTTTCTGACACCGATTCCCACGTCTTCCAAACTAAGAAGCCTACAAGTTACTTCCCACATGATAATTTTAAATCAAGAGGAAAACGGAGCTCAGTAACAATTGTTTCCCACCAGTTTTACTGGACTACATTTCACATTTTAAGAGACCTTAAATTATTTGCAAAGAGGCATACACGAATATACTCACAAAAAGGTATTTGACAAGCAAGAAGTATCAACCTATCGGGGGTTTTGTCTTGTTAAGTAAATATGAAAGGGTGGGAAAGATCTTACAATTTTGTGGAGTTTTTAAATAGTAAATTTTGTCTGATTAAAACTGGTTAATGTCTACTTAATGTTTAATATTATGTTGGTATTATCTTCTTTATTGAGAATCTGAGGAAAAGCAGTGAAAATTTCAAACCAGAAAGCTAACATTTCTAAACTAATTTTAGAATGGCCTTTCTTTTAGGAAGTATAGGAAAAATTTTATTTTGGACAAAATATCTGTGTAGCTGGAGTTCAAGGATCAGTAAACAGTAGGAAAGTGATAAATGAGGCCTATTACCTTAACTGAGAGAATATTTGTGAAAATAGTTTTCAGCCACTGAAGGTACTTTTTGCAAATAATTAAAATGTTTTGGGTTTTTGTTTTTGTTTTTGTTTTCATTCAAGATACCCTCCCTGTCATAGAAGCTAATTTTACTCCTTGAGGTTTAAATAAACCACTCTATACACACAGTTCTAGTATCTCAGTTTCTTGACAATCAGGAAAATAGGAATCCCAAGTTAAAGTACTCACAGGGAAACCGATAAGCCAATCTGCAGAGTCGGGCAGGACCCACTCAAGACTGAGTATTCCACAGCAAATGGGTAATACACGGCACTTGGATCAGAGCCTGAAAATAAGCCTGCCTTACCTGCTACAGGTAAGTAGGCTTTTCAGCCCAGCCTCGGGAGAGACTGGAATACAAGGGTTTGGCATGTCATCATCACCTCTTAAGTGGAAACTAACCAAGATACTAAGGTGCAGGGGCCAAATCCTAATTTGCAGACTCAGTACCCCAATGTTTGCCATATCGGGTGGCTCCGTTCATAGCAGCAGTGGTAGCTAGACAGACACTTGTGCATGTCTAGAGCCTGGGGCCGGAGAACAGGCCTTCAACATGGCGTTAAGAGACTCAGTGTAAGGAATGAAGAAAGAAATGGAAATTCAAGAGAAGGAATTTGGGTACAGTTCCTCTCCAAAAGCTAACTTTTAGAATAGCTCATTAATATAATTCAGGTTTGAAAGGGGTTTTCCTAAGACAAATCCTAGCTTATTACCCACCAGTATAAAATTCTGATTTATTCAGTTTCAACCTATGTCATATCAACTTTAATTTTCAAGCTTTCCTTCAGGCAATAATTTATTAAACTTATAATAATGAGAATCAACCTATATAAATCAGGCTATTATAATGAAAGCCTCACTACAATGAAGGCTCTCTGAGCTCATTTCATACTTCTGCAAATCCAGCAAAATTCCATTATAACAAAATAAAGGAGCTACTTCCTTGGCATTGCACTCTAGCCAAAGCTAGCTATTTCTGTTGAAGAAACTACCTTAACTCATAACTAAAATTTTATTAACATATTTCAAATCTAAAATACTTTGCCAACTCTATAATAGCCAAGATTTAGAAAAGAAATCAGGACTGACATTTTAACTAGAATATCACTAAACGTTCCTTTAAGACTTTTAAGTGTCAAAATGAAGATGACAACAGAAAAAAAAATTAAAATGTGATATATTTCAATGGCACCATCTAAAAGCAACTGGCTGCCATTTAAAAAGGAAGCAGTATAAAGTTTCTCCTTCCTACCAAGAAATTATGATATATGAGTTGAAAATTCCAGTCACTTCTCATAACATCAGTGAGGGAGCTTCAACATCAGTCTGCAAACTTCTTTCCAGGGAACTTCAAAATACAGGTTTAATCAGTTCATACCGGGAAGTGACCACGATATAAAGAACTTCCAGGACACAAGATGCGAAAGCCTGACCACCCCATCCAGCTCTGCTAGTAGCTCACTGACATGACCACAAAGGTGAGTGTAACTGAAAGAACTAATTATTATCAAGTCAGTTAACAAGAAAACTCCCAAAGGAGAATTTTTTCTCCTTGCATTATCAAACTTATTATTTCCAATTTCCCATTTCCGCCTGCACATGTACTTTACTAAAATAAAAGGCTGATGGGGTCTCTTAGTTGTCTAGAGGCAGAGAGTACAAATTTTCCATCTCTGGAGACCCAGCACCACGACTGAGCCAAGGCTGCTCCCGGAAGTCAATAAGGAGGAAGACCCTAAGGGAAACCACACACACTCATCTGGCAGAAGAGAGATTATGCTGAGTATTTACCTAAACATCTATCTTGAATATGTATGCCTCAACTTCCTTTCAAAGCCAATGGTAAGAAATGTGTGGATTAACTGCATGGAGCTCCTTTATAGAGCAGACATGCATATTGCAGCTACTAAGATTTGTGACAGGTGCTCCACAGGAGGCCCAGCCAGAAGCACAGGGTACCTGCAGCCCCCTACTGAATAAAAAGGTCCCCAAATGCAGATAAACACGAGCATGCGTACATGGTTCCACTGGAAATAACTACAGTGCTCTGTGCGCCAGACCCTACCAGTGATCTCAACCTTGATGCACAAGACACCTCTGGGGAGCTTTACTAAAAACACCAGTGACCAGGCTGTGCATCCAGAGGCTCGGATTAGACTGCACACATGGAGGTGAGAACCACTGTTTGATATGCTACTACATTATTAAGTCTATATGTCGCATTAAAAAGCAATTTGCCTTTGATTATTTAACATTTGCTGAGGTGTTTTTTTCTCTAAAGATAAAATACATGCTCATTTTAGAAAATTTGGAAATAGTTTGACATATTTTCTTCACACACATAGCTATTTTATAAAATTACCTCTGGGGCCAGCCGAGTGGCGCGATGGTTAAGAACTGGCTTGGGACGCCAGAGGGCCCCGGTTCGGATCCCACATATGAGGGCCAGTGACACTGCCCTCCACAGCTAAGATGCTGAACAACAGCTGAACCCGGAGCTGGGCTGCTGTGAGTCGCCGGCGACGCGTAGGCTGCAGTCCCCTGCTGCAGTGGGTTGCCATGGGCTACCGTGTGTAGCCAGCAGCCAGCGTGAGCGGCCAGCAGCCGCAGTGAGCGGCCGTCCAGAAGCCGGCGACTGATCTGCCTCGCCCGGGAAGAGCGCAATGATGGTGCCAACTTGGGCCAGTGAAGCAACGTCCTCCACAACTAGACTGAAGAACAAAAGGACAGCAACTTGTCCGTTCCCCTTCCCCCAATTCCCCAGCACTGTTCCCATCCCCCCAATTCCCCAATAAAAATCTTAAAAAAAAAAAATTACCTCTGTACTATACTTTGTTATCTTCCTTTTTATTTAGTAATTATGGAATTTCCCAAAAGAGTAGTTCCTGTTCTTTGAAAGCATGACTTTTACTAGCCCTCGGTGTTTTATATGGCAATAGTTCAGATTTTATGTGGAAAGATCTGATATTCATTTTACGTTTATATTTGAACCATTTCAACTTTTAATATTATAAAGCTCTGAGAATAAAAGCACTGCAGCACAGTAATGGACCGAGTTCTGCCATAGCAGGCCACAAGTGAAGGCAAATTATGAACGGGACTACTCTAACAGGCATACACAAGAAATGGAAATGGGTGGAATTAAGAAGTTAAAAGGTGGGGCTGGCCGAGTGGCTCAGTTGGTTAAGAGCTCACTCAAGAGTGCAAGCTCTGAGTAACAGTGGTTCGATGCCTGGCACAAGCTGAGCTGCCAACAAGCGGAGGGATGGCGCAGCTTAAAAAAAAAAAAAAAAGAAGTTAAAAGGTGGTGGGAATTATGGCTAAAAAGTCTTCAGAAGAATAAAACGGGCACTTAAAGAAAACAACGTTTAAAACAAGGCCCTCATCATGAAATAACTTAAAATCTAGTTAGGGAGATAAAATACACACATAAAACACTAAAAACAACTAATAGCACAAGAAGGATATTAGCACGTGAAATTGTAAAATAAATGGAATAGAATGAGTGCTACAGGCGATTAAAGGAGCTCAGAAAAGACAGGTATCAGGGAAGAAACAAGCCAACAGCAGTCACTCAAGTCTCCCTTTTCGAGGGAAGAGAAAATCAATAATATTGTTTTGTTTATGGCATTCTTCCCAGATCACAGACAAACTACGACATTGAAAATGTTACTGAAATATTAAATGCAGAAGAGAAATCAACTGAATATTTATCATCGTCCTAATTACAAAGAGAAGGCTAATGGAAACAGAACTAAATTAGGAGGCAGGAGAGGCAGAGGACTGAACTAGGTTTGATAACCAATGGCTTTAAACGTATAAATGTAAACTAATTTGCTACCTTTAGCAGTTAGGAAAT